CGTCACTTGCAAAATGTAAAAAATACGCATAACTGGGTGCATGTATGTATGTGTGTATATATATACATACATATATATATATATATACCTAAAATATAATATATATACATATATATATATACATTATATATATATATACATATAAATATATATATATATATATATATATATATATAAGTAATTGTGTTATTCCACGTCCAGCCGGTTCAACTCATTCAAGACACAAGGATCAAATCAACTCTGATTCTGATTCTCTGAAATGTGATATGATTGTGATCTGATTCTGAGTCGCGCACAAAGCAAGGGATGGACTTCATTCATCGAAGCTTCAATAGTGCTTGATTCCATTCGCAGCCCTGATCAAATCAAGCCAAAGCCCGCATAGCATCCCTCCGAACATCGCAGTGGCTTCGTGCGTGATATGCGACAGGTGCGATGCCTCTAAGTTTTTCTAGCAGGTGAATAGTCGAGTTTCATCCACACTTGACAAAACTGGACCGGTCTCCAGGTACCACGGGACCCCGCATGCGTTTGCGCTCCCGGCCACACACGCTTGCACTTGGTGTCGAACAAAGACCGAGTGAACCACGATTGGCTGTTAAAAAAAAAAATGATCCGTTGTTTTCCGGTGCCACCATGCGTCAGGCCAATAGCCGCCGAAAGAATGACGTCATCATTCACAAGGGCCCCGTGACGTCACGCGTGAGCGGGCCGGCCGTGACGTCCTGTCGTGAGCCTGCAAGACGTCAGGTCGCTCACGAGTGCTAGCTGACGTCACACCACGCCCAGGCGTCCGTCACAGTACCCGATGACGCCGGCCGGCCGGCTCGGCCCAGGTGTGGTATTTCGCAATCCGCACGGCCGGTGGCTGCCAAACCGGTGTCACAGATCAGTAACGGTGATTGCCGCTGGAATACTGTCCAACCGACGACAAAAAAACCTTGGGTGGCATTGCTATGAACGCGATAAGGCTATGCGAACGTCTACGCGGTTCAACAATCACTGGCCTCAATGTACGACATCCACCGCAGAGTATCAAATCAAATCACCACACAGGCGTTCCGCTGAGGTAAACTGCGCGTATTCACCAGGTGTCAAGTACGCAGCTCCGCGGCCCCCTCCAGCCGGTACGGAGCAGGCGCCCCGCGCACGGCAGCGCGCCCTTCCCACCAAGCGGAAGACTCGCATGTCTCCAGGTTTCGCCAAGTTTGACTGGGAAAGCCAGCCGGCAGAAGCGGCGGCTTTGTTGACGGCCTCCGCGAAGCCGCATTGACCGGCCGGCCGCCGCTGCGTGGTCAGGTGGCCACGCCAGGCCGGGGTTCCGTGGTGCATCCGCACGCGGGCCGCCACCACTGCCGGTGCGGCAGGGTGACGTGCGCCGCGGCCTCTCACATCCGTCTGGGCAAGGAGAGCCTGGACGGCCCGCATCCGCATCAGTCGGCTCAGTCCAGCGGGAGTGATGCGTGATTTGCCTGGCCAACTGGTGCCTGGCGGCGAGCGGCAGCTGATGCGGGCACCAAGGACCGGCTCACCACGCCATTTTTGGCGTCCTTGGTCTTTTTGCACTTTCGTACCATGGATAAGCCAAAGCGACCTTCTTAGCACGCAAGGAGCCACGGCGGCCTGCAATGACAACCGTGCTACTTTAGCAAGCATGTTCTAAGCGAAAACGACACAGGTACACACTGGTCCTGGTCAAGCCAACAACTGAAACGACTCCATCACGCGAGCAGCCCCTGGGGAAAGCCAAGCCGATACCAAAACAGTGAAATGATCGGCGTACTTTGCAGCCAGCGGACTGGGCACGTAATAAACAAACGGTGAAGCGATACGAACGCAACTCAGGAGTCGTGTTCACTCGAAGTGCGTATTCCTTCATCAAAACATCTTGTTCGTGTCCCAATGTCCGGCTACGACGCGTCGTGGGCATCAAAGCGTCGCGACGCTAAGATGCCTCTAGCCGCGGACGCTTGGAAACACGCCCAAAAACGCCATGCATTCTGCGCATAGCCCTCGGCGTTTCATCATTTGTTCGGCGAAATGATCCTGGTAAAGCGATCAAATATGATGGAAATAGCACTGCCTGACACTCCCGAGCGCCGTGAAAGAGACGAAACACACTGATATTAGAGACCAATGCGTACGACGCCCCGCTCGGCGCGGGACGGGCGGGGTGGGACCCGAAACAAAGGGGCCTGCCCGACGCGGTGGAAAGTCCGTCTTCGACGAGAACTCGGCAGGCGTGGGTTCCCTGATGCAACATTCGCACCAGTTTACAAATCACATCGCTCGAGACTTGGCCGCCTGTGTGGTCTGGGCAAGCCTGGCAACCTCAGCCAACAAAACGGATCAGTTGTAATGGTTTAACTTCTCATTAAGTGACAGTGACCATCGTCCTGTTTATTCACAAATCGTTGTGACTTTCATATCTACTACGGATTACGTAGTTACCAAACCCCACTTCTCTCCATCGAGGCAGTGGTGTATTGAAGTCATGTTCGTTTCCAAAAATGTGAAATTGGCCCATTTCCATTAAACTATTAGTGCACCTTTGGGTCAGGAGGCAGAGATCACTTACACTGAGCAAGCTGCATTTGCTCACATTATGCAATTAACTCCACATCTCCATCACCTCTGGTTGCTGAAATCTTTCCCCAGCAAAGAAACAGCTTTGAGCCTATGAATCCATAATCTGCATTCAAGTGTGCATGTCTGGTTGCAGACAACAAGCCAATGCTTGCCAGTATGACTGTCTGCTACTCCTGTTGTGTGTTGGTCTGACATCACTGTCACACTAATTGTATACCAAATCCCACCTGATCGCATACCTTGTTTGGAAATGACTGAAAAACTTATACAGCGCAGATTGAAATAACTATGATTCTTGGCAATGTTGCTGAGAACTGCATGAAGCTTTTGTCATTGGTTTTACTGGTAACAGTTGAGGCTGGAAACAAGATACAAGGTATGCCCAATCATTGTGATCCATCAGAGAACACAACTGGCATTTACCTAAGATGACCAGCACCTTGAACAGCCTGAAAAGAAGCCTGAAGAAAAGGGTGTGACATCATTGATACAACAGCATGCTATGAGTCATCAAAGGTGCATCCAAAAGTGATTTGCCCACATACCTCTTCAGCACATGCTTCCTTGTGGCTCTCCACACTTCATTAAAAGAATGCCCTCCATGAGTTTTTCTGACATAAGACATTTGAACAATACCATCATATGATAAAGTGATAAGGCTCCCTGCACATTTCATAGGCTCTCCACATCAAGGACAGTCCAGGATACCTTCACAAAACAAATAAATCACAAAGAAAGAAATTACTCAAACAGCTGTTTTCAAGCATACCACCCCTGCAGTGTATGTGGGTTTGGGCTCAGCTTGACTGATTCTGCATTATGTTGTGACTGTGCTATTTTGTTGTTAATGCAGATGACTCCTTTGTCAGGCATGTCAGGATGCAGGCCAGCTTGAGGTTTGCAAGTTTCCTTTGCAGCTTGTATATGCTTCCTTCTCATACAGAATTATAATATATGCATACACATAACAAGGCATGATTATGCTTAGGTCTTTGGTATGATGCCTGTTTTACTACACAATGCATTCTACAGTGTCATGACTGGAGAAACAGTGTTGTCATGACTGGAGAAACAGTGTAGAAATAGTAACATTTAAGGTTTTCCAGGTATTCAACTGCAGTCAGCAAACTTTCTGGGAGCTGAATGTCTTTTAATGCTTGGAACACCATTAAATGCTTACCTGCTACAGGTTTTTGAAATGGATGGTTCTGGAATGATGGGCATATTGTGATACTTTATACAGTTCTCCAGCCCTAAGCCACAAGTCATACACAATCATATGAGCACAAATTGCATTTTTTGGGCCTAAGTCATGAAACCACCAAGCTGCTAATGAATGCTGGAAAATGATACCAATGTGGCATAAATATACCCACCTGCCATGCTTCCTGTAAAGAAAGTCATAACTTTCAATCAGTGTCACAGTGTAAGTGTCAGTGCCTGGAAAAGGGTGTGATCCCAGATTGGCATGGCCCAGGAAATGCTACAACATCCCATGGACACAGATGCCTGCAAAAGGACTAAATTCAAGTTTTTATCAACTTATAACCCTGTTCTTCAATACCTAACTTGCCTGAACTTGGCAAGACAGTGATCTTTGACTCTAAACCATGTTTTCTTCAATACATAACTTGCCTGAGCTTAGCAAGACAGTGCATCTATGACTCCATACAATGTTTTTTTAAATGGTAGATGCAACATGTCTCTTTAGGCCAAAACTATTAGCAGCCCCTATAAGACAGAAACTTATGGATAGTGCCTAGTCATCAGTGTTGAAGCTTTCAGAAAACTCACGTGAACTGCGATATCTGATCTGCAAATGCCATGCCTACCAAAGTCCTCATGCAGAGCTGTGTGTGGCATTCAATGACTCACATTCCCTGGGTAGGTAAGCAACTGTTGCAGCCTGCTGTTTAAGTGTACAGAAATGGGTTGGTAGCCAGGAGGGTAGGAGCCAGGAAAGCAGGTATAGCAAAATTAATGGAAATAATCCCCAATCAGTGGCAAAGAGACATAACAGACATCACCCAGTCTGTGATTCTCAGCTCCCAGGCTACTGGCAATAGGTGGTTCTTAGAACCTCTTCATGCAGGCTGCATGGAGTTATCACTGTTCTTCACTCTCCATGAGGCAAAACTAGATTCAAACTATGCTTCATGTTATTCCAGCAGTCAAATATCTCTCACATGGAATGATTAGAACAGCTCATGCTTAATAGCTCATGAAATAAACAGCTCATGCTTAACAGCTCATGAAAAAGTCAGTTTGGAAAATACGAACAAATTATCTCTCAGTCTCTTCTGTTTTGTAATGACCCCGCTCCACGACACTCAATCGCATGCATTTCAGCTTGCTTGCCGACGACAGACCACGACACGGGGAACAAAGGCGACACACAGGCGAGTCCTTACCTTCAATCTGCGGAGCTTCCCATCCCGTGCTGCATTAAACACAACGTTGATGAACTCCATTGCAGATGCAAGATTATTTCATATCCTCCGGACACGAACTGCTGAAATGATAATGCTGCGCGGAAACCGACGCAGCCCCAATCAGGCGACGGCCACCGCCGACGGAGCACACACACACTCTGCCTTCGGAGAGCGCCGGATTGAAGGCCATTTGCCTGTTGCCAGTTTTGCCTTCGTTCCCCAAAAGTCTCTATATATTGGGGGCAGGCGCCAAAACTCTCCATGTTGGTACGGGATCAGCACATAGGACCTGCTCTCGGAACCCGAGACCTACTTTAAGGAGCAATACCCATGCACGCAACCACGCCTTAGGTGTTACTGGCGTCCATCTCTGTTTAAGGGTCATTCAATACGGTCAGAACACTAAAAGCGCCCTATCTCCGCAAAAGTCACTGGGGTTACCAAAAGCTACTTACTAAAAGTGACCCTTACCGACCCCAGCACTGGTCGTGCTCGTGGGTGAAACCTGCGCTCGGAAGACCAGCTTTGGATGACATGTGTCCGGATGATCTTCTTCCAAAGTGTCTTCGCTCGGAACGCTCGCAATATCTATTACTGTGAATACTACACTCGGAAGCCCTATGACAGGAAAACACCCTCATGGAATACTTACATTCGGAAGGCGTGCGCTTGTAACGGCTGTTTCCTGGAATACCTACTGCTGGAATGCTTACGTTCGGAAAACCTTCACCCAGAAGACTAACTCCCAGAACGTCTTCGCTCGGAAGACTCGCCACTGGCCGGCTACTCCGTGGATGTCTATTGGTGACGTACGTTTACCAAGTCAGGATATTCAGATCAATTTCGAAAAATGCGACGCTGGCAGCATTCTTGTCAATCGCTGGCACACCTATGTGTCAAACAAGTGTTGAAATTCGCAAGAAAGTTAACACGCGCTCGGGTTGGGGGGTCAGATTGACCCTCCCCGAAGGTTTTCCAGAATGGTTTCCGAACGCCGCGGCGTAGCCAAGCCAGATTTAGCATAGCTGCAGACAATTGAGTAGCAGATCGTTTGACATCAAACATTTAGATGTACCCTGTAAGGTCTCTGACCTATGGCAGGTCAAAGTCAGGCCATGATTTCAGCGAAGGCAATTTCTAGGGAATCCTTCAAGCTGATCCAACAAAGGAGTGTTAGACGAAGCCATACATCTCTGAGGTGCTTTCTGGGGCAACACAACTGTTAGACGAGCAAATTAAATTGACCTAAGGTCAGGTATGAAGGTCACATCAAGGTCAAAACCAGTCTGTTTTGTTGCTCCAGGGCTTCCTGCATGGGATAGTGTCTGGTGCTCATTTCGAATTTATTGATAGCAGGAACCGCATTATACATTTCCGGACATCTTAGAGGTCGGAATAGGTCATTCGATCACCTTGACCTTTAAAAGGCCAAACAAGGTCACTAACCTTGAATGAGGATGTGGCCTTTTGCTTAGAAACGGTTATCTAGGTTCCGGGGGCACTTTGGAAACCAACCTGGAAGTTGACCTTGTTTGACCTTTTTGACCCAAAGGTCATGACGTAGGAACCTGAAACTTTGATCCAAGTGGGTTCACATACAACTCAACACACCATGTAAATTTGGTGTCTCTAGCTTTCTTAGTTCCCTATATCTCAGAGGGGTCAAACTGACCCCCCACCCGAGCAAAGGGTATCTATCCGGCCAACCGGGCGCGTGCTAAAGCCCGTGCATCCGCTTACACCGTGCTGATGCCAGTTGTCCAAAACAACTAAGAATTCGCGGATCCATGATTTGAGCACGAGGACTTGTGAGTTTCACATTGACCATGCACATCGATCGCACTGAGCTATATGTGGTTGTTCGGGACGCCAGTCCCATGCCGCTGTGACACCGGGTTTTCAACCCGTTCTTTCGCAACTTAGAAATTTTGCATTTTTATGCTCACACAATAAGTGTGGCTGAATTTTTGCTATGACTGCAAAGTCGCACAAATTTGACCTGGTCAGATAGCTTGCATGAAAACGACCTTGTAACGGCTTTAAAACACTGGGGCTCTTGTTGCTGGAAACTGCATGAGCCTACGGTGCGAAGATATTAGCTTTAAGAAGCGTGACTTCCGAGTCTGGACAGGTCACACTGGGCCGCTCAAGTTTAGATTTTATCATGTTCAAGTAAGGCGCGCTCGTCTGAACGCCTCGCACATAATCAGCAGGCAAAAATTATCCTTAACTGGGATACACCACGGACGTCGATTTGTATTCTTTTGTGAAGGCCTTGCCCCCCCCCCCCCAATGTTGAGTTGGACCCCCCAATGTTTGCTTGCCCCCCTAATGTTTTTGGCTGGAATACTACAAAAAGGCGGTAAAAGATGATTATAACACAAATACTATCTGCTTTGATCTGTCTGCGTAGTGGCGTTTCGTGCCACTCTCGTAACACAAAGTCATGGTTGCTTTCACCACAAGAAACAAATTGCAACAGCTGAGTGGAAAAACGATGCAATAAATGGCACACACCTAGCGCCATAAGACACACAATGGTTTGTAAGGTTGAAGTGAAAAGATCTGGAATATGAAAATGACCAAGTCCTTCACAGCTAAGCCCGTCCCCGTCCCCCACAACCGAAATGCGTGCCGCCTGCCGTGACCGCCACAGGAGAGCGCCATCGGCACCCAAGGTAGCCTCTAAAGGGGCGCCTTCACATGCCGCTCAGAAGAGACGCGCGCGTCCAGCGCCTGCTCCCTGGATCCAACACTGCATGACTTGTATACTGCCTAAATTAGAGACTTATAAAGTAAAGAAAGCGTAACTTATAAAAGAAATTCATTGCATTTTATAAGAATAAAGTGGGCTAAATCCGGTGAGAAAAGTGTGGGGGTAGGTTGTCGGGCTTTTAGTTCTGCCCCCCCCCCCCAATAATTTACAAAAATACCCCTGGAATACACCAATGTTGAGCTGGAGGTTCATTGCATATCATTGTAAGCCAGTTAATTATCTTTCGGTAATTCGGTCTTATGGACTGATGGCCTTTACGACTGGCGCAGGCGCTCAGGCTGTATTAGCTTAAGCATCAGTAACAGATCAGTAAAAGACAGATCTACAATATCCATGCGATTTACATGCGTCATGTCCAATTTACCCGCATTTCACGGCTTTTTCAAGAAATATATCCGACGCCACACATCATTTGTTTAATTACTCTCAGACCTCAGTTGAGAAATCGCTGTATGGAATAAGTGTCTCATCATGAGACCTTCAATACATTCACATGAACCTTCAGAACTTTAACACACTGATGGGTCATAGCTTTCGGTGTAACGGGACAGCACACGAACTGCTGTAATCAGCATGTCGGAAACAACTAGCGACTTTAGTTTCAAGACCTTCGTGGGAGTCTGAGCTCAATGGCCTCAGCCTTCTCGAACTTCCAAAGGTCCCAAATTTAACGTTGATGAAAAACTACATGCATAGTCGTAAACCGCTCTTCAGTTGCTCTTGCAGCTCTTCAGCAGCTATAAATTCGAGGAGCAATGTAGAGTCCCTGGTCCGAAATTATTCGCCTTGATGCCGCCGAGAGATCGTCGTTTTTTTACGTGACGGAATAAGCATGCACCGTGAGAATCAGCATGCCGAATGCTTGCATTGGTTTGAAATAACAAAAAAATGTAGGGGCTCAATGTTCCTGGACATAAGGCACCTCTGGAAGTCACAGTTGTGTACGTGGCTTAGCGCGACAGGCACCAGTATGATAGCTATTTGTCCTGTATTATATACATACATATATATATATATATATATATATATATATATATATATATATATATATAAATAGATCAAGTATAAATTTGCCGTATTACAGACGATGTTGGAGACAAAAAGCGTTCGGCTTTTCGCCGAACATGAATGCACATCGATGATATGCGTGGGAAGCTTTTGCTCTAAGATCACGGCTTTTAAATATGGCGGGAAACGACCTGCATCACGTCAAAATGCTAGATGCCACACAAGATGTGAGCTTGAAAAAAATCTTAGGGGTCGGCGTTCACTGACTTCCACTATGATGACCTTTAAAAGTAAGTTAGATATGACGGGTATGATTCGTTCCATCACAGTCAGCACGCTGCGTGAAACTAGTGACGCATATATGAGACGAATTATGGAGGTCTGGCTTCTCGGCGAACGTGGATATAAATGATAGATATACAAGCAGTTACAAATGCAAATATGGAGCGAGGAATGCTGGCGCTGAGGCAATAGTTCTTTGTGTGGCCAGAGACGATGCACAGTGCCAAAATTGATATGTTGGTAACATTTAGAGATATGAATTTGAGGCACGTCGTAAAGGCCTGGAGTCAATGGCCCTGAACTCTCATGACATTTGCAAGTCACGGTGCCTAATTCGACGGAAATTGACAAGTACCGCGATCATCAGCACGCTATGTATTTCTAGGAACTTGGATTAGTTGTAAGGTGCGGGCAAGCAAAGAATGTGAATACGCGGCTGTCAATACAAATGAAAGGCTAGCAGTCTCTTCCCCACAGTCACAGTTTTTTTATCTGACAGTAGGCAACACACATAGTCGTTATTGGCATGCCGAACACTACAAGTCACGCAACTCTGCGCTGCTCACAAGATCCCGCAATCAATGGCCTTGAAATTAATGAGCTCTGGAATCAACAGTTTTCGTCACGTCGGAGAAAGGCACGTACTACTGCAATATTAACATGTTAAAAGCTTCTAGTGAACAGTGGCGGTATATCCCGGTGGCGTCGGGAAGTGGGGGCAAACTGCCCCCTCTCCCCCCCCCCCCTCCAGCTTTTGAGGTGGGAGCGAAACTCCAGTTTTGCTACCCCTCCGCATGATTTCAGGTTGCCTGGAGGAGCCCCTGGGGTATGTGACAATGCGCGCTTAATTTGTTCCCTAAGGAAACGTGCAGGGCCCATGCCTGGCCTGGAAAAGGCCCATCTTAAGATCAAAAGAGAATCGTTTTGTGCCCGCGAAGGGCCTATCTTAGGCTGGCAATGGCCCATTTCAATACGATAAAACACCAAGCTCGGTAGGGAGCCGTTCTGGTCTAGAAGAGCTCATCGCAAGCTAAAAAAGAGCCCGTCTCGGGTCTCTAAAAGGGCCCATCGTAAGCTAAGAGCGGGCGCACCCAAGTCTAAAAAGG